CAACGTTTTTACAAAAAAAAGTTCGGTTGGTTAAAAATATCGGGAAAATAATTAGGTCTCCGATAACCTCACTTGTTCAGTTATCTATACTTCTATACTAATATTATAAAGAGGTAAAATTTGTAAGTTTGTATGTAGGGGGTAATCTTTGGAACCGCTGGTCGGATTGCCAAAATTCTTTCACTGTTCCTCCTGCTACAATGTTCCTGAGGCTATATAACATCACGCTACGATTAAATAGAGCCGGGCAGCGGGTGAAACCGCGCGAGAGTAGCTAGTAGATCAATAAACGTAAATGTTACAACGAAATAGCTTGGGTTCATTGTCTTGAAGGCCCTGCTTTGTATGCAAAAGATGTATATTGTAATTCTCCATACACATTGAATCTAAATAGATACTATGTTATTTGATACCTTCGCTATTCGGTGCTACTATAATATAGGTAGGTAATGGTATAGATATCTATTATTACTTTGGAAAATATCAAATTCGGTAGTTTCCAACTCAATGATACTAATAGGTCTTTACCTATGAAATTGCCGTTCTGCAGTACTGGCCATTTCAAATCAAAATAGTTTTTGTTAGGCTAAGGCTAATTAATTTTGTTTTAAAAACATGGGATTATTTTTCCAAAAGTAGTCATTTGTTTATTGATTAGTGTTACATTTTCATCGCATTTAAAATCAAAAAATTCGTTTAAATTTTTTCATGCAAAACGGCAATTTCATAGGTAAAGACCTACTTATTATAAGTAAAATGGTAGGTATAGATAGGTTACTTAAACAACATTCGATTTTCAAAAACGGCACACTAATGCACACATGAATAAAGCGTATGATACACGTTAAAGTGGGATGGCATAATTCAATAATCGCGAGTGAAAAAGAGACAAATATGAAAAAGTGTGGCTAGTTAGCCACATTTTAATGTATCACTTGCTAAACGCTTGTAACCTATCTACACCTTTTTAGTTATAATAGGCAATGACGTATTATATATAGACACGTCATGAACCAACATCGCGGCGTTTAAAAACGGCGAAAATACTAGATAACTACTTCTACGACTAAAGAAAGGGAAAGAAAATATGACATCGTATAGTGGAATGCCTTTGCTAGAGGGAGATAAATATACATCTTCAGTTACATCACAGGATAAGTAATAGTAAAACTACATTTTCATTGGTCGAGCGCACGAGTGACGTAGCTGCCGGCCGCCATAAGTTGGCGAGCGTCGAAAAAAATAAAATAAAAATAAGTAGGTTGTTTGGTGAACTTACGCATGAAATGACACATTTTTGTATTTAACTTTTGGAGTATAATTTGTACATCGTCTGAACACACACGACGGCATGCTTTCTTTATGTTTCGCACAGGTTTACACACACGATATAAATTAAAAACAAACGTAGCGTCGCGCGGCAGGTTGGTGCGTAACTAAGCGCGATGTTGTCAATTGCCTTCATTTTATGTTGTCATTTTAGAGCGCGGACAACGTATCTATAGTTTTATACATCATTGATAATAGGTATATCATTGAACCTTCGTATGCGATCGCAACGTATGACATTTGTAATAATGTTTTTATGTCAAACAGCTTACTTTTAAAAAAAAAAAAAAAAAAGTAGGTACTTATTCAAACTAGAAAAATCAAAAAATTATGTCTGTTTGTCGTCAAATCAATGGTTGAAAGTAGATATGATTATATTTTAGCATTTCATTGTGTTGAAAAGTCAAAATAATTTTATTTTTCTTTGTAAATAAATTAGTTTATTTAAAAGTCTTGTTTATTACTTTAAATTAAAATAATTTAGCAATTTAAAAACATGTGTTATTTACCCATCTACCTATCGTTCCTTTAAATCTAGTACCGTAACTGTTTCGTAAAATGTTGATCCACAAATACTTACCTACTTGTAACTTTTTAAAAGTTTCATCCTTTCATCTATCTTGATCAAACAATCAGACGAAAATGCGTAAGTTAATATACAAACAATAATAAGTAATATTTAATTATAAGTATTTCCTGTCTCAGGTCTACTGGAAGAAATACCATCAGGAATACTTAAGTAGGTACTACTCAGAAATATTGTAGCTATCTATCAGTGAAAGAATTTTGGAAATCCGACCAGCGGTTCCAAAGATTACCCCTACATACAAACTTACAAACTTACAAATTTTACCTCTTTATAATATTAGTACCTATAGATATGTATTTCCCTCTGTGCTGTTTTTATGAACATAAATTAGGTATTTAATAAATAAATAAATATTTTTATGAGAATAGCTGAATCTAGTTTCTGCCACCGGCTTCTACCGCAGTAGGTACCTACCAGAATAAAAACTAGCCTCAATAGGTACCTACCTATTTGTTATTCCAGACTGTACCTAATCTATCTCTGTGCCAAATGATATATATTTAAATAGACTTCAGTACAAGTACCAAATCGTCTATCTATAAGTATTATTATGTTACTATTAAAATTATAAGTAGCTATGACAATCTAAAATATTTAAGTAGGCAGTAGGTCCATTGAGATAGAAAATATATAGAGGCGCCGTGTTACTATAGAAGTATACATGCTTATACAAATATGAGGGAAATATGAAACAAACTATGAAATATCATTTTTTCTCACTCTTTCTAAGGCAATAATTGTATTAGACAAAAGGGACAACAATATTTAAGTTGTTGCTTAATATGGAAACAAATCATTTTGACATTAGCAAAGTTGTAGGTAAGTGCCATGTCCGCCATCTTAAGCGCTCAGAGTACCTGAGTTTCATGGTAGTTGTCCTGTCAAACGGTTGTTTATGTTTTAAATTATTGCGGTTTTTCAGTAAATTACAAAGAACCATTTTTTTAAACTTCAAATATATATAGTGAAACAAAAAAAACAATATGCCTGTGTGTTGTATTGTGCAGTGTGGTGCAAAAAAGAACGAAAATCAACCTCAATTGTCTTTGTATAGGTTAGTAAACAGTTTTCATCAAATATTACTTAGAATAATCCACATAGATAGAAAAAAATGTCACGGATACTTTAATCTATTGCCAAAGTATATATATTTACTTTTATTTCTGTCTGTGAGACAGTTTTAGTAAAAAATTGTTGTTTACAATAATATGCCAATATGGCATAGTTACGTACCATTTCACAAAAGTATCGATATAATCTCCCATTTAAAATTCAACATATATTATACTAAATAATCTATTTTAACAATGGATGTTTCCGCAGTTTTGTGTAACGCTAAAGTAAGACGTCAGTATTTTGGTATTGGTTTTAGTTACATAAGTAGAAGTTCAAATTATCATGTTTTGGCGACGATCCCAGTGCGACCACCAAGCGTAATAATAAAAAGTGAGATACATACAATAAGATTGACATCACTACATATCTATTTTGTGCTAACGTAGTTTCGAAGATATCATCGTTTAATCAGACGCGCCGAAATTGTGCGCGAGCACTTCACAAATACCCACAGGTTTTCCACATATATAAAGATAAACATTTAACAAACACTATCTTTTTCTATTTCACCATTCCATTAAACGCTGTTCATAAACACAGTCCTACTTTTTTAAAAGACGCTTTACGTAGAATTATATGAATACAAATTCGACTTGAGAAAATCATTAGCCAATCAAGAGACCAAGTTAACCCCGGGTTCCGGGCTCTAGCTAGGCCGACGGCAAAGTAGGAACAGGAGTTGATTTTAGTCAGTAACGGTCTATCCCGAAAAAGGCCGGAGATGACATTAGATGATTTCCCATAAAAAAATACCGTTAATCAGCTGGCTAATCCCTAAAACTATACCTACGTAGAACTTTTACTCAAATTGTATCGATACTCGTTAAATACTTAGTCGGCACAACCCTAGCAACGGCAGCCATCTTATGCGACATTTTGGATTGTAGGTAGGCACCTTTTTTTCGTAGGTATTTCAAGTCCATATATTTCCTATGTCAATGAGTAGGTCCGATTTTGCAGTGGGTGGTAAATGACCAAATATCTTTGTAGAATAGAATCAATGGTTTGGGACTGCTTTAATTTATAGCATAGAATCTAAATTATTGAATAAACTGGCTGTGAACCATTGAACTTTTAATACAAAGAAATTTTAGTCATTTTAAAATTGGTAGAGTGTAATTACATTTTTGACCCCTGACCGTACCTAGGTACCTTGTTTTTACTAGAAAGAGTAACAAACATCCATTTAAGTACCTAAGTGAGAATAAAAAGGTTGAAAAGAATAAAAAAAAATAAATGGTATGCCCATTTATTTTAAACTAAATGATGATGATGAATGATCTAAACAATAATGACGGTAATTTTAATTAACATCAAAATTGTAAGTAGGTGCCTAAAACTAAGGTAAAACGTCAATGCTTAAAACTTAGGTAGGACTCGTAGGAGTGAGTCTATGATTTTTTTATAAAATATAAAACCTATGTTTAGGTACTTTTTTAAAGTTTGAGATGTGAAAATCCGGTCAGTGGGTAGCTTTGGGGGCGGATATCCTTATGTTTAAATATATTTTTCCTAATACAAAATAGTAAACATTAAAGAATAAAAAAAACGTTTTTACCGTCGTCAAGTTCATTCATACAATTTTCCTATGCTGCCATCTAGTGAGAGATAAAGAAATTACTACAAATATCCGTAGTACACAAATAAAATCATAGATGACACTACAACAAATGACGAACAATTAGTGAACACCGTAATTATTATGATTAAAATAAAATTATACTATATTATCTAGCTGTAGACACTACACTTTTATTTGCTAGCAACGTGATTTTAAAGATATAAATTTCAAAATCACAATTAAAAAGCTTCTAATTTCTCCCATTTCATTGCTTTAACAACATTGGCAACACCGTCGCGTCTTGTCAAAATGGTTGTTTATCATTGTATTGGAATTGGAAGCTTTTCTTTTTCTGAAAAATAAACAAATTATCCAATGTTAAGTCGGTTCAGGTGATAATTAAAGATGTGTGACGAAGGGGAAGAGTTCTGCCGGCTGTGCGCTGAGCCAACAACGAAAGAAACGCTTATATCGCCCGACGGAGACGTAGGAATAAATTCCAAAATAAGCACCAAACTGGAATGGATAAATGTTGATATTTCGACCAGAAATACTCTTCCTAGATGCATTTGTTTCTCATGTTTCGACCTTCTAGAACGTACTTGGTCGTTTTTACACAACGTGAGAGTAGCACAAGTGAAATTAAACTCAATATTCTTGAAGAAAAATGATAGCGAAAATTCAGATGCCGATGTTAAAATCATGCCAAATGATGATGGAAAACCAATTAATATTGATTGGGAGGACTTTGAGAACATGAAGACGGAGGTAAAACCTGAAATTGTTAATGAGGCGTTACAAATTGTTACTGTAGATCCAAATTCTTTGATAGATTTAAATGCTGTTAAAATTGAACAAGCTAGTGATGATGAAGGGGCGCCAGCGTCTGATGGGTTCAACTCTACGGACAGTGATACACCCCTCTATATGGCAGCTAAGAAAAAGAAGCTTAAAAAGAAGAAAAAACTAAAGAATGCTGAACTAGAAACGGATCCTGTTGACCCAAAAGGTGCAATACCATTCCCAGCAATAACTTGGGATGAATACATGTGCCTGTGTGCTGAGTGTGATGCACAATGCAAAAACATAATGTCCCTTCGCTTACATGCATTACAAATTCACACCCGATGCTGTATTTTCAAATGTTCAGACTGCAGCAAGGTTATAAGCAATTATAAATCCTTTGTAAATCATGTTCGGTCCCACAAAAAGCTCTTAAGATACTGCTGTGAGTTCTGCAACAAGCGTTTTGACACAGCATCGGGCCTCAAAAAACATAGAAACACATTCCATTATAATGCATACAGAATTACATGTCCGAATTGCGGATCAATGTTTGATGATGAAGAACAATTACAAGATCACATGATATTATACACAAAATCCTACAGACGACGAACTGTAAAATGTGAAAAGGTGGAGTATGAATTAAAATGTGAACATTGTCAAAAAGAATTCAAGTCACGAAGCAACTTACAGCAACACAAACTCGTACACACGGAACGCAGTAGAGACTTCTCATGTCATATTTGCGGCAAAATGTTCTTTACAAAAGGTACTTTGAGTACACATATGATGACTCATGATGATACGAAGCCTTTCAAGTGTAAATTCTGTCCGATGGCCTTCAGGGCACGAGGGAATCTACAATCACACATCAGCTTACACTCCGGTGCTAAACCATTTGTTTGTGAACAGTGCGGTAAAAGTTTCCGTGTGAAAAGACATTTGAAATCTCATTCTATAGTGCATACGGACTTAATGCCCTACGTCTGTGAGTATTGTAATAAGACTTTTAGATTTAAAACCCGTTTGAATTTACATTTAAGACAGCACACTGGTGCGAAACCCTATAAATGTGTTTATTGCCAGCGGGACTTTACCAATGGATCTAATTTTAAGAAACATATGAAACGGAGACATAATATTGATACTTCGGTCCGTAAACGGTATAATAATGTTGTGGAAAATGAAGCTAGTATGGATGGCAGCGAAGTGGAAGCAAACCAAACGTAATTATGTATAACATAGAATAAAATAAGGTTGTTATTTCAAATTGCTGTTTATTTCTTCAAGTTTCTGTTTTATTTGTAAACTTGAGCTGAAATCATTCACTGAATTTAATTTAAAATCTTTTGATGGATACATTTTTAATCATAAATACTCAAATGATGTAAAGTAAATATTATTTTACTTTTAAAATGGTTTCAAATAATTGCATTTTGGATAATCATATCTTTTATGTAACCTGAGTCAATCTATTTTCAAATTCTGATTTATTTTCAATTCCACCACTGCCATATACTTTTAGTATTGCTAATTAAAATCATGCCAGTCATTTCATTTATTAAAATAATTAAAAAGAGAATGAATCAAAGAAAGAGAAAAAACATTGCAGACATTCTTTCATTCATTCTCTCTTTTATTAGAATAATATAGAAAAGAGATAGAAATGTTGTCATGATTTTAGTTAGAAATAGAAAAAGTATCTAGTACCTAGTACTCAATAATCCATGGAATTATGTACTCAAAATATAAAGAAATACCACTGAATTGTAATTATATGAACACATTTCTAGAAACTAAACAGCAGCTCATGTAGTGCAGAGATTGTCCAGTCAACAAGGATGTAGCGTAGACTGTCCAGGCGACACACGTACTTAGGTATCGTCATGAGCTAATGTTCACATGTAAACAGCAGCTCATGTAGTGCAGAGATTGTCCAGTCAACAAGGATGTAGCGTAGACTGTCCAGGCGACACACGTACTTAGGTATCGTCATGAGCTAATGTTCACATGTAAACAGCAGCTCATGTAGTGCAGAGATTGTCCAGTCAACAAGGATGTAGCGTAGACTGTCCAGGCGACACACGTACTTAGGTATCGTCATGAGCTAATGTTCACATGTAAACAACAGCTCATGTAGTGCAGAGATTGTCCAGTCAACTGATGGTAGCGTAGACTGTCCAGGCGACACACGTACTTAGGTATCGTCATGAGCTAATGTTCACATGTAAACAGCAGCTCATGTATTGTCAAGTTTTTTAGTAATGTGTTTTCCCCAAACTGTATATACGTATTATAGTATTAAAAGTTATTATATTACTCTTCCTTGTATACAGTATTAATGTTAAGCGAATAAAGCAATATTTTATTATTTATTTTGAAATTTATTTGCCCTAGTTGAGAGTGCGTGGCCGACATTTTGGGGAATAGGGTTTTGGAGTTTTTCGGGTTGGGGAAGGATTGGGCCTCGAGTAACCTCACTCACACGGCGAAACACAACGCTGTGGTTGTTTTACGAAGATTTTCTGTGACGCCGTGGTATCAATCTGGTTTTCATTTGTCATTATGTTTCATTGCTCCAATCAAATCTCAAATACCCAAATCTACAATGCTCAAATGAACCCCCAAACTCATTTTCTGCTTAACTCTTTGGATCCAATCACTGTTTAATAGGTAATTATTGTTCTAAAAGACTACAGTTAGCGCTATGACTGGCAACCGGTTCCTAAGCAACGTGTGGCAGGGTCAATTCCCATGGCTGCGGGGTAAGCGAAAAGGAGGAGGAGAAAGTTTTTTAATGTAAGGACAAAAAAAAGGGTCAATTCCCGTACGAAACTATCTACTATTCGTGTGATCCAATAATTGATCTTCCTAGGTTTATTGTGTTAGTATGTGTCACACTACAATCATCATCAGCCTGCAAGCGCTCCCTGCTGAGTTACTCTTTGAAAGAGAGGCCCTCTTTCAAATAGTAAGAATGAGCATTAATCACCACGCTTGCTCAAGGGGGATAAGTGATTTCAAACTTATAATTCGAAATAATAAGTCCAGGTTTCCTCACTCAGCCGGGGTTGCGGGGTAAGTGCAATGAGGCACCGCGACCTCGGCCCAGAGCAGGAGAAGGAACAGGGGTGTTTTTAGTCAGTAAGAGTCTGACACTCATGAAGATGAAGTCATTTGATGATTTCCCCTTACAAAAAAAAGGTTTCCTCACAATGTTTACCTGTGGATTTCCATCACCGTGTCCTTCGTAAGGAGTCTTTTTTTAGATTTATACAACACGATTTTCTACCACATCACACCCACAGTCAGAACAATAATTTAATATTGTGGATCACAGCAACAGTGTACGGGAACTGAACTCGCGACACGTTGCACGGCAGCCTATTGCTCAGATACCACGTCAGCCGTGCAGATATCAGTCTCTCTCAATGATCTTTAAGGATAAAAGTGCCTGTAAGGGTCTAAAAAATCATCATCATCAGCCTTGTGCCCACTGCTGAGCAAAGGCCTCTTCTCCCACGGAGAAGGTTTGAACATTAATCGCCACGCTTGCTTAAGGCAGATTGGCGATTTCAAACTTATAATTAGAAATTATAATTCCAGGTTTCCTCACGATGTTTGTCACCGTATGTCAGTGGTGTCTAAATATCATAGAAAGTATAAAGGTATAACTCGGAAAAAGTTACATTGATACTTGCCAGGTTTCGAACCCGCTGCACCCTCATGCATGAGAAACGGGCGCATTAACCTCCGGGCCACCACGACTAAATAAATTACTTAAATGATTTTAACTTTGATCTTAGAAAGTAACTTTTTATGGTATAAGTCGGCGCCGCCCATGTTCACCCGCAACACCCAAGGAGTTACGATTACGTTGCCGGCCTGTGGGGATAGGAGTTGAGGATATAAGGATCGGAATGAGATAGGGGAAGGGGAGGGGTTAGGCCTCCGGTAACCTCACTCACACGGCGAAATACAACGCTGTGGTTGTTTCACGCTGGTATTCTGTGTGGCCGTGGTATCACTCCGGTCGAGCTGACCCATTCGTGCCGAAGTTTGGCTCTCCCACTTTTTATTTCACATACTTAAATAAGATCTGAATAAACCATATTGTTACTTTCTAGTTTTTGAACGCTCATGCATTAGAAGCCAACGTCCTAGCTACCACGACATATTTATACTACTTACTTATAATATTATAAAGAAGAAAAGTAAGTTTGTATGTAGGGGGTACCTAAACTTTGGAAGCGCTGGTCGGATGGCCAAAATTATTTCACTGATAAAATAGCTATAATGTTCCTGAGTGCTATAGGCTATAAAACATCACGCCAGGATCAAATGGAGCCGGGCAGCGGGTGAAACCTCGCGAGAATAGCTATTTTATTTAACGATGTTCCTTTCGATTTATTTATGAAGGAATCGTTATGTCTTTTTATTATTGTTTAACAAATAAATATAATTTAGGTACCTAATTAAAAAGAACCTGTACGGTGAAAAAAAACAAAAAAAGAATTATCAAAATCGGTTTATAAATAACGGAAATATCGGCGAACAAACTTAAAAAAAGCATAGCAATAGGTATACGGTCGGATTGAGAACAATCCTCCTTTTTGGAAGTCGGTTAAAAATACATTGAGAGAGACCGCATTTTTCAATGCGAAATAGAAAGACGAAACGAAAATAACTGGCTTGCTTTCTATGTAAGAGAGAGAAAGTACTTATAGCAAAAAGTTTCGTTTTGTTCGTCGACCGGAGTGATACCACGGCCTCACAGACAACCGGCGTGAAGCAACCTCAGCGTTGCGTTTCGCTGTGTGAGTGAGGTTACCGGAGGCCCAATCCTTTCCCGCCCCTAATCCCAGACCCCCTAAAGATCGGCAACGCATTCGCAACTTCTCCGTTGATGCCGGTGTCCATGAGCGGCGCTAATTGCTTACCATCAGGTAATCCGCCGGCTGATTGCCATCCTATCACAAAAAAAAACACGTCTAGCCCCTTTTCGCAACGCGCGATTAGGTACTTCCTTCCAAAATATGGGATATAGGTACTCCTCTGAGATCTTCTAGACAAAGAAGAGGCGGATAATCCAGTGGATGGTCACAGGCTGATTATGATGAGGTTAAGTACTGTCGAAAGCAAAATAATCCGACGCCATTATAACAATGGAACTAACACACCGTATCACAGTGTCATTTTACTTACCTTTATCATAAAGTACCTACTGTCTCAGTTTTGGTTTACTACAATCAGAGCGAGAAATTACTATGTAAGTAGCTAAGTAGTCGTGGTTTGATACTAAAATGTTATTTTCTGATGTAGATTTTATTTAAGAAGGGTGGGAGAGCCTTTCTTCGGCACGAATCGACGACTGG